GAGAGAGAGAGAGAGAGAGAGAGAGAGAGAGAGAGAGAGAGAGAGCCGATAAGTCTCCAACCTCGCCCCACGCTGCTTGCATCGATAAAATGAGCAAATAAAAAAGTGGCAGCGGAAGATTCATTTCGTTTTTGCTCATCCTATCGATAGTGTGTGTGTGTGTGTGTGTGTGTGTGAGAGAGAGAGAGAGAGAAGTACTCATCAAGTTCAACTTCGCATACATCAACGAACATTCACATGAGAGTTCCCACGTGAGAAGCCAATCGAGATACAATCAACACTTTAAGATGTTGTCTCCAATATTATTATCAATATACAAGAATGTTTGTCTCCAGCGGCTCTGCCGCACACGCACACACTCACACTCACACTCACACAACGGGTCTCAACCAGATAGCGGCTATGGCTTCTCCCTTCTCTCTCTCTCTCTCTCTGACTTGTGTGTGTGCGTAGGACTCGCCAGTCCTATGCAGACGCCGTCCTGTTTGGCCGCCTGGGGAAGCAAGGCTCTTTGGCCCTTGCATGGCAGGGCCGCCTGGGGAGCTCAGGTGAACCGGGCGGCGCGGCTGGTAGCCTACACCATATTACAGTAGATTAGATTAGACTATTAGATTATTATATTATTATAGTAGATGATGTAGATTAGATTTGATTTAGATTAAGATTGGATAAAACTGGATTAAGATTATAGATAGATCTAGATTTAGATTTAGACTAAGATTAGATTTAGATTTAGATTTAAATTAACATTAGATTAGATTAGAGTCATTAGACTATTAAGATTATATTATGGTAGACTATATTAGATTTTGATTGATTTAGATAATAGATTATGTTTAAATTATAGATTAGACTTAGATTTAGATTACATTTATATTGGGCTAATCTAGACTAGACTAGGTTCAATTAGATTGGATCCAAATGTCAAATATAAACTGCAAAAACGAAATGCAAATGTTCTATCGTGTAACACCCACCACCAGGGGGCGCATTTATGATCAGTGTCTCCTCACCTCTCGTCAATGAAGAGCTCAACCGCTTTCTCGTTGGCAGCACTAAGCACTCCGGTCATTGTACCCCCTGCTCTTCCAGCCATATAGGCAAGGTCCAACGACGGGTATTTGGCACGATCTGGCTCCCTGAATGTCAGGTCTCCCATCCTGCACAAAAGGACAAAAAACAAGATCAGCAAATGACAACGTTTTCATTATTCAGGCTCATAATCCGATGTTCCCCGTGCATTTGAACCAAAAGAATCAACTTTCTTTTTTGTCCTAACTTAACTATTACATAGGTATTTAGTATATTTCGTAATCAATCGACTCCCTCCAAATAAGGGACTCTTTGCCGCCTATCAAAAGCAAAACATTTCTTGACATGTCTTGACACCTCAGAACGAATCAAAGATAGACATGTACAGGCAAAACATTGGCTGGAGGGCTAGAGGGAGGGGGAGGGGGAGGGGAAGGGGTAGGGGGAGTCGGGGGTGTTTGGTGGGGTTGCAAAACTTTAAGCCACAGAGAGCTCGTCATCCAACGTGCATGAGCTTGCAAGGGTGGTTTTTTTCTACCCTCTTTTGGCCCAAAATTTTCACCCAAAAGGGTCCAAACCTAGGCTACCAGCCGGGCCGCCCGGGTCCCGGGTGGCCAGCCCGTGCAAGGACCAGCGAAGGTCCAAG